ACGCCGCAGCAGAGGGAGTCGCGAAGCCGAGGGAGGCGAAGTCAAAGCAGATGGAGTCGAGCAGAAGAATTTGAGGCAGATGAAGCGCGTCGAAGGAAACGACGAAAGTCTAGCAAACGACGAAGTATGACGAAGGAGCAGGCTGTGATTTCGATCCAACGAAGAGATAATGAGGCTACTCGGGTCGCCATGAAGACGTGACGAGAGACCTCAATTCTTTTTCTTCCTCCTGGAATAGACCTGTCATTATTCTTCATCCGAAGAATCAGTCTGATGAGGTGGTAGAGCTGTAGCAGAAGGATTACCAATCGTAATATCCACAATAGGTTCTAGGATATGTGAAGTATGAGTTTCCTCTACACCGGATACTTCCTGAAGATGGGAAGCTGCGAGGTTCTCTTGATTATCAGTCTGAACACTATCCTTTGTAGGTAATAGTCCTTCAGTATTGTTTTCTATGGGATTTGAAGGTGCCATCTGTCAGTCAACTTTTTTTCGATTGATTAGATTTGAAAAATATGATATATGAAAATAAATTTTCGAGATTTAATTTAAATATAAAAGATATATAGTTTGGGTTTCGAAAGTAGTATGTTTTAATTTTTGAAAAATGAGACCAAATGGATCTCATTAGTCTGATAGTTTGCAAAATCGTGCCTGATACCGCAAATACTACACCTTCCCGAGAGATAAGTGTAGACCTCAGCGATAGACCCAATCCTGCAAACTAAGAGATTTGTGACATCCGTTTGAATCCAATCAAAGTTTGATGTCTCTCATTCTCTGTGCCATTAATCATTGTTTGTGGCACATTGTTTTCACTTGCAATGACTCTGTGTTTTGGTATTCTCTTTACAACATAATCAAGGTTTATAAGACAATTACATTTATTTAATATACTGATAATAATCCAGATAATCACATCAACTTATCTATTCTATTCATCCGCCCCTATTGATCACTATAATCTATCAACAAAAATTGATCATAAGAGCTCAAAAGGTGGATCTTTTATAATCATCATAATACCAAATATATTGCATCAATATAAATGAACTTGATTATATAAATTTTATGTTTAATCATCAAAAATTGTAATCATCTGCATTCATAATATCACATGAAAACTCTTAAAAGTGTTTTTCCAAAACTTTATAATAACAAGATAATCAATGCCAACGTACACTGTTGGCATAGATTACCAAAAAGATTCCCTTCACAAATTTTAGAAAGTGTGATCGCCACCACCTTCAAACGTCGTGAAAAGATTGAGGAACATTGGAGGACTTGCTAATATGAAAACCAGATTTTGAACTTGAAAGAGAAGCAAGAGTAGGAATAGGAATGTCGCCAACAAGTGCAGTGACATAGGAGCGGATCGTGGTTGCCATCTCCAAAGCAGCTAGGGAGCCGCCGGACGCTGGAAATAGGCGAGCAAAATTGCTGCCTATGAACGACGCGAGCAGTTGAGCAGGTCGATGTAGCGTATCGCCTTGACGAAGAAGACCCGCAGACGACGAAGGTTGCGATTTCGTCAAGGAACGACTAAGAACGCGGAAACGACGCAGCAGACGGAGTCGCGAAGCCGAGGGAGGCGAAGTCGAAGCAGACGGAGTCGAGCAGAAGAATTTGAGGCAGATGAAGCGCGACGAAGGAAACGACGAAAGTCTAGCAGACGACAAGTATGACGAAGGAGCAGGCTGCGATTTCGATCCGGCGAAGAGATAACGAGGCTACTCGGGTCGCCATGAAGACGTGACGAGAGTAAACCCTAGCAGATACATCGCGTGTTATGAATATATATATAGATACATACATACATACTTACTTACTAGGACTATTACTCGTGTTCGAACATAAGTAGGAAGATGGAGTTCAGGAAAAACTTGATTTATGGAGGTCAACTTTAGAATCTAGAGACTGTCGTTTTAATAGATTTAAAATTGAATACATGGAATGTAATTCTAGTAGTAGTCGATCTAGTGGTAGGGTTGTAATTATTGGTGATCAAGTCAATAAAGAACGTTTTAGATATGTCAAGTTTATTGTTCAAAGTGATAGTGATATAGATGGGGATGTTATTAGTAGAATTCAAGTGTATGGTTGAAGTGGAGGAATTCATTGGGCCTATTTTGTGATAGAAAAGTATTGCTTAGACTTAAAGGAAAATTTAATAAGATTATGGTGAACCTAAAATGTTTCATGGTGCGGAATGTTGGCCTCTAAAAGAGAAGCATAAAATTAAGGTAAGTGTTGTTGAAATGAGAATACTCAGGTGGATGCGTGACTTTATAGTTAGAGACAAAATAAAAATATGTTAGTGAAAGGGTTGTAGTAGCTCCAGTGACAGACAAAGATAAAAGACAGTCGCCTTAGATGGTTTGTTCACGTTAGTAGTCGACCATCTGATAACCCTATTAAGAGAGTAGATGTTTTAAATTTGAATTATGCTAAGAAAGGTTTAGGTAGACCTAAAAAGACCTGACATGTTGTATAAAGATGATCTTAATTTATTAGAATTAAATGAAAATATGTAACTCAATAGGACACAATGGATAAAAAAGATTCATGTAACAAAGGCTTGTTGTTGTTATTATAATTCTGATAATATTATAATTATATGTATGGATGGATTGTCATCCTTTTAGAAAGATATGATTTTATTTTCGCTCCACACGTTCCATCATCTATTGTATATTTTGAATAAGAAGGATTTAAAATAGTTGAAAGATTAATTTTTAGATTATGAATTTTAAGTAACTTGAATCGTAGTCATTCATAAAAAGAAAAAGATGCCATGGAGGGTTAAAGATGTGGAAGGAACATGTGTCAGCTCTTTCTAAAGCATAATACTCTAATTCTGTCCATTTCTACAAAAAAGATATAGGGATCATACACTTTTTTGAATCACTAATATTTGAAGTAGCTAAAAATCAATGGTAATATAAAAAGCAACTATAAGTTTTCTTTTAGATACTTTAAAGAAAGATGTGTTGGTAGCAGTGATTTTATACTTTTAAAACATCAAGCATAAGGAAGAGTTCAAATTGTTTTTTGATACGATGGAGTGAAAGGCGTAGAGATATAGGTCACAGTTTTTTTGTCAAAAATATTGTATAGTATATTAGCTATTTCATGATTTAGCTATTGTTTTGCTATGATTTGTGACTTATGGACGTTATGCAATTAAATCTAAATTGTGTTGCACAATGAGTAAGAGTGCCTTGAAGCTTTCATTAGCTATTATTGCAACTTATCATTTACCATTTTGGAGTTGGATTTTTATAGAGGAATAGTTGAATTTAGAGTGGTAAGAGAAAGAGATTGTCAAAGCATGCCCCTCGGGCTTGAATGATTTTAACAGTAGTTTAATATGACAGGGTGAGTTGATAAATTTAATGTTAATCCAATCAAAGTTTGATGTCTCTCATTCTCTGTGCCATTAATCATTGTTTGTGACACATTGTTTTCACTTGCAATGACTCTCAAGGTCTTTTGGTATCTCTTTACAACATAATCAAGGTTTATAAGACAATTACATTTATTTAATATACTGATAATAATCCAGATAATCACATCAACTTATCTATTCTATTCATCCGCCCCTATTGATCACTATAATCTATCAACAAAAATTGATCATAAGAGCTCAAAAGGTGGATCTTTTATAATCATCATAATACCAAATATATTGCATCAATATAAATGAACTTGATTATATAAATTTTATGTTTAATCATCAAAAATTGTAATCATCTGCATTCATAATATCACATGAAAACTCTTAAAAGTGTTTTTCCAAAACTTTATAATAACAAGATAATCAATGCCAACGTACACTGTTGGCATAGATTACCAAAAAGATTCCCTTCACAAATTTTACTGGTAGATTTTAAAGTCTTATTACTTATTAACATTTACAAATTCATAATTAATCCTAATTTTATAAGAAATGATATTTCCATACACATAAATCTCCTACTAAGACTTAAGCCTAGTTGATTGGAATATAGGCTCTAATGTCAATTGTCACAGCTCACTCAGACTGCCTTTGTCGAGTTACTGTTGGAATGTTCTATTCCTGCT